TTATACTCTGTTTACTAATAAATATTATTTTTTTTGTTCAAAAAAAAAGTTTCATTCATAAATAAGTGTTATTTTATAATTTAATTAAACATTTAAGTTTTAGGACTTGCTTCTAAAGAAATTAATTTTATTTTATTTGTAAGTAAATATTGTCTTATAAGTTAGATTTAAAATCTAAACTTTAAAATTTAAAATTAACAAAAAAATTATTTTTCATAATACACTAGTTCAACAAAGTAAATAAATAACATTCACAACTTGAGTTGTACAAATTAGTGTAGATATTTTTCAATAAAATTTTATCTTATTTAAAAAAGATTCTTTAATTTTATAATTTAAATTACATTAAATTACAAATAATCATTTGATAAAGGCGGCCTTTATATCCAATCAGATCTTTAATGTTAAAAAGTCGCCTCCATTCGATTGTAAGTATTATGCAATCCAGTCTGATACCAGATTGCACAAACGTTATTTCTTTTTAAAAAAATTAAAACAAATTAAAAAACCCGATTTCGCATTCCATTTAAACCCTTCTCATTGGACGACTTGGTCATTCTCCTTCTCCCATAATCTTTCTCTCTTCCCACTTTTAGCGCAAGAAGTTGGTCTGTATCCACTCCTCTTTGCTCAACCTTTGATGGCGAAAATCTCACAGAAGAACCAAAAGAACCCATCAAAGCCTACAACAAAGGCAAAGCGGTCGCGGAAAAGCGTACCACGAGACTCTCCTCCGCAACGGAGTTCTATTTATCGAGGTGTCACAAGGTTGGAAATTTCATTTTTAATCATTCCAAACATTTATAATCTTATGTTCTTCGTTTTTTCCTCTTAATTATTTGATACGATTTTCCTTCCATTGATTCAGGCATCGGCTGACGGGACGATATGAAGCCCATTTATGGGATAAGAATTGCTGGAATGAGTCCCAGAACAAGAAAGGAAGACAAGGTTCTTGCTCTTCTTCTTCTTCTTTTGGCTATACCTTTCCCTGAATTGTACAAGAAAGCAATTTCCATTTTATTAACATCGATCATGATTGGCTTCTTCTTTTTGTTGGCACCGGTGATGGAATCCCATGAAAATGCAGTATATTTAGGTGAGTTCTTTTTAGAACTACTCCTTAGGAAAGAAGGGCGATTTCTTTCTTTCTTTCTTTCTTTCTTTCTTTTTTCCCTTTGTTTGCTTTTCTGCAGTGGTAGTACTGTCTTAAATTTGTAGGTGTTTTCTGTTGTGTTTGATTTAAATGTGGAAATTGGGTTTTTTTTTTTTTAGGGGCTTATGAGGATGAAGAAGCAGCAGCACATGCATATGACTTAGCTGCATTGAAGTATTGGGGACACGACACCATCCTCAACTTTCCAGTAAGTTTTATTAATTGTTGCCTTTCCAAGATTCACCTTTACCTGCTCATCTTTTTATTTGATGATGGACAATCGAAAGATTTCTATGTATATTTATCATGCTGTTTAATTAATTTGTAGTTATCTACTTACAAGGAAGAGCTCAAGGAAATGGAGGGTCAAACAAAAGAAGAATACATTGGATCCTTGAGGAGGTAATTTTATATATATATATATATATATATATATATATGTATATGTATGTATAACAAAAATATCCTTCTGGTGCAATCTAATATTAATATTTAAAATTTTAAAATTTTTAGTTTTTGTGCATTTAAATTTTAATTTTATTCATAAATTACAAGTCAAAAAATTCATTTTTAACATATGCATTTCAAATAGTA